TGGTTATCACTCTCACTAGTGATGATGACAAGGCAGAGAGCACTTTGCTTTTCTTAACCCATTATAATACATGCTGGAAATGGGGGCTATCAACTTTGCACATTTTTTTCTATGCCATTCTCCCTCAGAAGTGGCTGCAGGGGTGACATATCCAGACTCCAAACTTGATGGGAAAACTAGATTTCCAGCTATTGTAGAAAAGAGACCACAACAGAAACTTACTCATTCCACTTCAATTCAGCTGATTTATTTCTGTACTGGTACATTTCTAAATCCATAATAATGGTTGGACATCATCTTGGATGAAAATTTTGTTACCCTCACTGTCTCACATAAGAAAAATCCTATTTCAGGTAATTTAACTTAATTTATTGAAAATGCTTTTCTTTTTATTCTTCAGCACTTCTCACCAGTCACCGACTGCCAGTTTTCTGCCAATTGATTCTTAAAGTTGGAAACTTTCTGAACTATGTAAGTAAACTGATTTCTTTCATTGCTATATTTCCAAAGATAACAGAATATATAAATGTAAGATTTGGAAACTGAAGGAAGGACCTTTTTTTTCCTGTATCTTCTAGGGGCATCACACTGGAGATGCTGGAGGTTTTAAAATTAGTGCCCTGCTGAAATTAACAGAAATGAAAGCAAACCAAAGCCGTATTACCCTGCTTCACCACATTTTAGAGGTACAGGAAAACTGTAAAATTATTCTTGTGTGCATTATTCTCAAATATTGATTCCCAAAAAAACAAGGGACTTTTAACTCAGCAGCACCAAACTGTAGGTATCTGCAGGATGAGCCTGAAATACGATGAAAACTTTTCCCCTACTCTTTGTGCAGATGAGATCAAATCCATATGCAGTAACTCTTAGAGAGTTAACGCCAAGTTTCTTTTCTCAAGTTCATTTAACCTGTCTGCTTGCTGTTTTCTTTCTCATCTTCTCCAACTGCTCTCTTGTGTTGACGTGTCTCCTAAATGCATCTGTCAAATGAAATTCATTTTAATGGTATGAAGACAAAATCTCAGGTCAGCTTGCACACTGTGGCAGGATGTGGGATGTAAGCTTGAGCAGTTAAAAGAGACTTTTGCTTTCTTTTTAACTCTTTCGTGGTGCCAACAGGAGAAGAATAATGAGTGAGACTAAATTCACCCTTATGCTTGTAAGAATGAAAACTGAAGTGTTAGTTTTTCAGACATGATGTTGTCCAGCTGAAAAACTTCCATACCCTTTGACTGACTGTGTAAGGTAACCATTTTTCACTTCAATTTTAGGAGATTGAAAAAAACTATACGGATTTGCTGCGCCTTCCCAGTGATCTTGACTTTGTTTCCAAGGCAGCAGGGTAGGACGTTATTGTTTGCTTTTGTAATGTATGAATTGCCAACCTCTTTAAAGCTAACAAGGAGCTGAGTCATTTTATGCTGGTGTAATAAGGTCACAGGACTACTCTGCTGTGTGAGAGAGAGGTTCCTTTCTAACAACAAACAGTGTTGAGATTTGCAAATCCACTTGGTTAAGACTTTTTATCTGGGGATCGGTGTAATTTTTCTTTCAGACACTCTGGTACTACCTTGCAGGTAAACCAGTGTCAACAATTAACTCTCTCATTTTCAAGGACCATATTCTTCTTCCCCATGTTGCAATAGAAACATATTTTCCCTGAAATTTCTTGGTCATGTTCACATGCTAGCCCATCAGGAGGTGCCTGTGCAGAGCTGGTAAAAGTAGGGAACAGCTGGGGTGATTTACTGGCCTTTGGAAGACCTCAGGAGTCTCTGAGTTGAGTGTCAGCACAAGTTTTTAGTATATGTGGGAAGACAGTAAAAAATTTGTTTCTGCAGACTTCCTGAAAGACCCAGCAGTCTAACACCAATTTTTTGTGTTTAGTTCAGAAGAATCACATGGAGATAAGTTAAAATACACTAATCACAATCTACATTAAATCTGAAGGTAGACTCATATTTATTAGGTAGATGCTCTTTTTTTTTTTTTTTTCCCCAAGTATTTTTATTCAGTAATGCAACAGAAAATATTATGGCTTTTTAGAGTTATCTGTGCAGGATTTAGTTGGATGTTGTTCTGAAACATGAATGCCTTTTTGGGTAGGAATCATAGAACCATAGAACGGTGAAGATTGGAAGGGACCTTAAAAATCATCAGGCTCCAACCCCCCTGCTATGAGCAGGGACCCCTCACCCCAGACCAGGCTGCACAAGCCTCATCCAACCTGGCCTTGAACACCTCCAGGGAGGGGCTTCCTCCCTGGGCAACCTATTTCAGCACCTCACTGTACTTATGGGGAATAATTTTTTCCTGATCTGTAGCCTCAATCTCCCCTCTTTCAGTTTAAAACCATTACCCCTTGTTCTGCCACTGCCCTCTCTCGTGAAAAGCCCCTCCCCAGCTTCCCTGTAGCCCTTCGGGTTGTGTCATAATAGAAACACTTTTGTTACCTGAAACTAAATCTTGCTAGTCAATTATATAAATGTGCTCTATTTTTTTATTTTTTTTTTATTTATTTTTTTTTGTTAGAAAGTAGTTGTTCTTCAGTTTAGTCAAAGTCTCAAACTTACAAAATTGATTCACTAATCAACCTAATCAAATAACGCAAGGGACTCACGTGTATGCACTGTGGAACACCACATGAGATTTTGCTTATTCATTTGCTGATTTTTGTGGCACAAAGAGCTGGTTAGAACCATAGATGATGTTGGTTCGACAGTGTAACTTCTGGGTCTCCAAGTGAGCTAAATGAACTCTGAGAAGATACACAATTTTGGACTATAACTAGACTAGGGAGAAAAGGAAAGGAGGAAAAAGAACCAGCTAAGTAAAGACATTATTGGCACAAGGGAAATAAGCATGTGTTGCCTATGAATAAAAAATGTTGGAGGAGTTTGTTAAATACTAGAACAGTGAGGTTCTTCCAGAGTCTGTCCAGGGAGGTCTTGAGGACAAAAGTACAGACACTTAGATGAGGGTTTGAGCACAAAGGAAAGGATTTATACAGAGAACTAGAGAACTATCTGCAACAGCAGGGCCCAGGTTAGGTGATTTATTCTGCATCCACTTGCAGAGAAGATACTGTTTATAATAATCTTTTAATTTAATGAAAACAAAGTACTCTCCCCCTTTCAGAATCCACTTTGAAGCCATGCGGGCTGAGGCAGGTGCCAACTTGAAGAAACTGTTGGAAATAGAGAAGCGTTTATTTTTGTCGACAGATGATTTAAAAACACAACATGCAAAATCTGTTCAAGTAGGTAATGTGGGTGAGACCTGCTTCCCTTCCCACTTCCTGAACTCTTGAAATGTCTTTTCAAAGGCACCATAACTCGAGTTACAAATGAACACAGAGCTTTATAGGAAGGGTCATAACTACATTCCCCCTGCACCCTGGTGGAAGAGGCATCCAAGATTTTCCTCCACTACTCTAATGTTGTATTGTGATAAGAAAAATAGCTGAGGACCAGTCAGCTTTGGTGGGGGCAGCAGGGGGAAGAAAGGAAGGCCCTAAAAATTAAATGTTGGATGCAGCTATAAAAGCCTGCAGTGCAATAGAGAAACATGTTTTGTCTCACTGTTTTTTGGAGGAAAAAAGTTAACAGATTTGCATATGTTTTTGTTTTGGGGTTTTTTTGCACATCTTTCCAAATGTCCTAGGTTTTCATGCTCTCAAAACAGGATGTCTTAACTAAAGCTAAAAGGCAGAAATCCTGGTGCTTTTTCTCTCTCAATCAATCATCCCAGGTTGTGCCAAACTTCCTCGTGGTTGTATGATGAAACTGGCAGCAAACAATGAGTTGCTTTGGGCCAGATAAAACCAGGGGAAATGTAAATGGCTCAATTAAGAAGAAAATATCACATACTGTGAATCAATCTTAATTGTCAGTATTTTAAAAACTGGCTGCTCTGTGTTAACCAGCTTGAGTCTTCTGGGCAGCTCAGAATATGCTACCGCTTAATGTGCATAAATTGTGTTGCCAACTGTGTCTCAGGGCAGTCTTGATGCTTCAAAGGACCTGCAGAAGGAATTTGCCACCATTGAGAAGAAGAAGGAAGAACTTGCTGATTATCTTTGTGAAGACAGGAAAATATTGTCTTTGGAAGATGTATTTAACACAATGAAAACCTTCAGAGAGCTCTTCCTCAAGGCCTTACAGGTGGTTTGCATTTCTGACTGCTTAGATTGAAATAGATTGAGAACTATTAATATTATTTTTTTAAAAGCAAGCACAAGCTTCTTTTTTCTCCTACTTCAAGCTGGGCTACCTAAACACTGGTTGCAGGACTATATGAAAGTAACTATTTGCTTGCAGCCTGCAGCAAGAAAAAAGAACGTGGGAAAATATAAAATGTGCTTTGTTTTTTGCTCTGGAGAACTATGAATCCTGTAAGTTGCTGTTCTCACTGTGAAATAATTAATCAGGCCTCAGTGCAATAGGAGCTTAGTGGTGTGTGAAAGAATGAGCAACCTGACATGCTTTATAGGCTTTGCCAATAGGCAGAAGGTAAAATTTCCAATAAGCAAAGCCTAATTGGAAGATATGTTTATATGTAGGTATTTCATTGCACTAGTTACTTCATAACAATATGTTTTCTGTCCCCTACAAAACTAAGAATCTCCCAAGACATTATATATGGCACTTCATTAGTTTATAAGACTATTAGTTTATAAGACTTTGCTCCTTGTAGTAAGGAGTAAGAAAAGAGCAGCTTCACCATAAAAGCTGTGTAGAGCACCTTCCAATCAGTAAGCCTCCAGTGAATATCCGTTTCACATCCCCTACTGAATACTTTACAGCTGAACTAATGTACTTCTTCTAAGTTTTTCTTACTGCCAGGTGATTATGGCTTCACATTTATGTATTGTAATAGCAACAATCACTCTCCTGTGCTAAGTCCAGCAGCCTTCTATAGAGGGAATCATCCACATTACAAGAAGCATTGCAAGAATAGAGACAACTATATTGAGCAATGAGAAGGTGAAAGAGTGCTTTAGGGCAGATCATAGTTTCAGATTAAAACAAAGGAGTTTCTGAGGAAGTGTTGGAAGATGAAAGATAAAAAAATATATCTTGTAATGTGCCCACTACCTGCTTCTCCTGTGAGGCACTAGGCTTCAATTTTGCAAGCAATACAGCTACACAGACTCCAAAATTATGTGATAGCACCACAGACAGTCTGGAAAATACCACACTTGGCCCTTAGAGTTCCTAAAACTCTAGTCAGAAAGGAAAGAATGAAGAGACTCAAGAATATCATGGCTCGGCCAGCTGGGGAGAGCTATGCTGGAAAATTTCAGAGAAGGGTAAATCCAGCAACTGCAGTTATTTTAAGAAACAGTAACAATAAAGGTTATGTAGTGTCTTAGTACAGCTGCAGAAGATTTAAACTACTTTTTTGGATGCTGCTTGTTCACAGCTAGGCTGGAGCAACAAGAAAGAAGCTTCTTTTTATCTGCCCAACATTTAAAGTCCCTTCCATCCTATTTTTGGTTCCTCCTCTGAGCAGCACCTCATCTCAAAGGTACCACAGATGTTGGCCACAGTGAATGTGTATCTGTTAGCTCCATTGCAGACTTGTTGTCATTCTTGCCTTGCTTTCTCACTATAGCTATTAGTAAAGATAATGTCTATGCTTGAAACAGCAAAATGTGGAAAAGTTAAAGGTTTAAATTTTTTAAAGTATTTGGTAGTTCTGTGATTTTTATTTGTACACTAGAATTGACCACATGCATCTTCTCTTTATAGTGCCATTTGATGTAAGCATTAAGGCTAAGGTATAATTTTTATGTAGAGACAAGTCTCCTGTGTAAAGCACTACCTGGTCTCCTTGTCTAGCACTAAAAAATCGTTAGCACTATCTTTCCATCCTCACATCAAATAAGAAAGGGAATAATTTTGATAACTAGTAATCCTTCACAGCTCCTAAGCTTCCTTATAGTGATTTAGGTTTTGTTACTTTGTTTAAACAAAATCCTTCTCTGTTCCCTGAGGTTTCTTTCTGGTTTCTTATCCTTCAGGTAACAAAAACTGGGCTACACAACTGAAATTGCTGTAATAAGGATTTGTCCTCTTCCTTTTCTTATACCTGGAGGTGAAAAAAAAAAAAAAAAAAAGGCTTTTTGAAAAGCCAAATGATCCCCAAAACTGCAGCAGTGAAAAAGAGCTGGTTTGTCACCCAGGGCTGATGACTGTTTGTTTCACCAGTCCTTGAAAAATAAAAGGAGCAGATGGCAGGAGGAAGGAGACAGAGAAAAAATAGCTTCTCAGCTCAAAGATTTGAAAAAAGAAAAAAAATAAAAAACAAACCCACCCAAACAAACAAACCAACCTAGAGCTATCCTGAGAACTGGGTTGTAAAACTGGGGAGAAAGAAACACTGCATGGTAATAGGGGATTGGAACAAACATTAACCTTAGAGCTTGCAGGTGTTCTAAGAGGGGAGCTCCCCACAAAGAGGCTCTCTAATCTCAGGAGAAAGAGGGGAAAAAAGTTAAACAATATCTGATCTAGGAGCAGTCAGTTGATAAGAGGTTGTACAGACAGCTTTATGCAGGGATAGTTCCCCTGAGCACTCCCCTAGGATAACACAGCCAGAGCAGCTGCTACTCAGTAGGGTGCATATGGTGCTGGAACAGGATGCACTGCAGATAGTGTGGGGATAAACAGTTGTCATGGAGCATCTTTGAATTTGAAGATCAAGCAATTATCTAACATCCCTCAAAGTGTAAATCCAAAGTGACACCCCTCTTCCATTTAATCTCATCCATACAGCTGCCTTCAGTAGTCCAGGAAATGGAAAAGGGATTGTGAACATTCATTCCTCTGTCTTGCTACCACTTTACCTTGTTGGGTTTTCTTCTGTTAAAGAAACTCTGTTAACTGTGTGTTTGCATTAATTTGCATGCATATGTTTTTTGAAAATTTATCTTAACAATTCAGTTCAGGCTGGCTCAATCCATAATTTTTTTTCCTAATGTTCTTCAGTTTGTTTTCAGTACAATGTGTGCTGCTCAAATTGCAGGACAATTAATCTCCTGAATTCACTTCCTTTATTTCTTGTGACATGTTACACAGAGACATTCTCTCAGGGCTTACAGATCTGCAAGTCTCCCAACAGCCATGTCTCAAAGACAATATGCTAAGACACAGTAGGAATTTATCAAGCAAGTATGTAGGAGGTACACACTGATGAAGGGCTTTTAGTCTCTCTGTAAGACTTCACCACCTGTACCTCACTCTTTCAGAAGAACTCTCCATTCAGGGCAAACAGATCGTTTTATTTTGTTGTCAAGAATACACCATTTTCCTCTCCTTTTTCAGGCATCCAGTCAAGGTCCCCATAACCTTGAGCCTATAGTGCTCCTTTATTTTGCAGAGACTATTCATGTTCAAAAGTTTCCTTTATTTGTCTGGAAATTTCTTTGGACCAAAGGATCCCAGGCTTTTAGTTTCCATAAAGGCCCTAAGAAACTTGTGCAGGTTTCCTAGGATATTTTCCACTTGTCTTATGGGAACAGAGGCAGATGATTCATAGCAATCATTATATCCAAATCTGTCACCTGACATGTTTCATCAAGAATTGTATCTGCACCAAATCATCAGCATCTTCTGGGACATTATTAAATTTGTACATCACAAACCTCTAAAACAGCAGGCCTAATAACTAGTGATCTACCTACAACACATAGATTAGCTGCTGGCTGGTTGCAATCAAAAGCAGGCAAGCTTCCAGGTGGTTGGGTCAATGGTCTGAAGATGACTGCAGCTCTGGAACAAGGACTGCATAAGCTTTTAAGAAAATGGCTTTTGTTACCTTGATTTTCTGCTACAATTACCCTAGTTGTTCAGAGCTCTTACAACTGTACTACTTATCAAAACCCAGAAATACACTTCCACTGAGTAAAGGTTTCCCTTTACCAGGAGTAATTGTTCAATTTCTTTCTCTTCCTCCGTTAATCATATCATCCCAACACCAGCAGCTCTGTGGAAACCAGAGTCCTGCTTGTCTGCATAAATCCCAATAGGATTTACGTCATCCTGGCCGTTTTATGAGTGGTACCAGTAGACTTCCCACTTGGACTCTGCCACTGAACCCCAGTGCAGAAACACAGCTGGCAAATTTACCTGGTGCCTGAGGAGAAACTGGGAATCATTGTTTAACACAGTTGAAGAGCTACAAAATTTCTGGTGGAAATCCCTGAATCCAAACACTGTAAAATCAAAGCTGCTATGGGATAAATCTTTAGAATGCTAATTAAGTTAACCTAGTATTCTGTTTTGTGGTCAAAGGGACTAGTTAAGAAGAATGCACTTCAGTCCATAGTTGAACCTTGTAGATAGCACTAATGAAAGTAATTGCTGGTAGCATAATTACATGGAGAAGGCCAAGGGGAATGACCTTAGAACTCTCTTGTGCTCTTTACCCTCAAACCTCAGCAGCTCAGTGTATGTATAGGGCATATTCAGAATAATTATTCATTGCAAATTGAGAGTTTCTTAACCAGCTTTTCCTCCAGTAACTCTTCTTAATTACTTTTTTATTTGTCATTCTGTCTGAATGCAGGAAAATCAAGAAAGGAAGGAGCGAGCTGCAAGGTCTGAGAAAAGGAAGAAACAGCTTAAAGGAGAAGATGCGAAGAGGCTAAAGGGAGATAATGGAAAGGGCAGTATATTTAGCAGAAATTAATTCTGGTTTTATTCACCAGTCTTTTGCTAATTAGGAGGAAATTATCTGTTTAGTCTAATACAATGACAGTGATTTAGCCACGGATGATGTAGTTGTCAAGCAGCGTAGTATGACATCAATTTTCAAGTGCACAGGAATTATCAGATCATGATAAGGATGCTACAAAAAATATCACTCCCAAAGATCAAGTTACTACCATTTTGCTTAGAGTTGGGTGATATGCTGCTATTGCTCTGAATATTTGTTGAAAGACTCTTAGGGTTACAGAGAGTTGCACCTACTTGAACTTCAAGCCTCCACTGTGTCACTGTGGCAGGGAAGTTGTGTCACGTGTTACTGTTACCACAACATCTGTTGTTGTGGGTTTTTTTCTGATTAGGGGCCTGATTTCTTAAAACTGTTACATGTGTGCTTAGAGGAGTGTGTGTGCTTCCCTGAAGAATGGCTGGATTGACATAAATGCAGAGAA